AGTAGTGTCAGAATTGTGGTGCAATACGAAGGGGTGGGAACCCTTGGCAGTCCGAATTCCCAACCCCGCCGCGACCTTGCGCGCTTGCACATGCCCGCACACAACCAGCGGAACCCGCTCCTCGCAGTTCGCTCTCCTCTCTTTTTTTCTCTCCTTCCTCTTTCTCTCTCTTTGTCTGTCTCTCGTTTCCGATCCCAGTACACTATTAGTCATAAGTAACCGAAAGCTCTACCTATTATTATTCTTATTTCGAAATTTCCGACTCTTCTTTCTATCTTTCTTTCTTTTAAAAAAAAAAAAACAACTTTGAAACGCTTCGAGTCGTTCGAGATTTTTGTGCAAACAGTTTGAGAAGGTTTAAGGATAATTTAGTTTTTTTTAGTTTCGTTATCTCGAGGTGGTGATGAGGAGAGAAAGAGAAAAAGAGAGAGAGAGAGAAAGGTCGATTTCGAACAATTCACGTAGTAACGATTCACGGATGATTTGGTAATTGGAAGGAGGTAATTTAATGGATGGACGGAGATGGAATATTTTTATTATCGTATTTTCGTTAATTTCATTGTCGTCTCTTTACGGATATTCTTTATAGGGAATCACGCCTCTGTCAAAGGGGTCGGGATTACTTTTGAGATGCAGTGTATGTATGTATGTATGTATGTATGCAACGATCGCGTGACCGAGTGCACGCGTGTGCGGCGCGTATGCACCGCTGCTACGTCAGGCATTCCGGCGTGCACTTATGCGCACGTTCGTGCCGGATACGCTCAGCTTGTGCGCCTCGTCTGGCAGACGGCTGGAACTCGAGGCTGCGTTATGGTTACCATATACCTATAGTCGACGCGCGGGGAAGGGGTTCGGGTTATGGGCAACTTCGTTTCTGGCTTTTAGGATTATTAGAAGAAGTTTTTATCGGAAGAGATCCTTCTTCTTCGATCTTTATTATCTTCGTTAAACCTGGAAAAGAATTCTCGATCTTCGTGTGTTTTTTTTTTTTTTGTAAATTTTTAAATTAGATTTCTTCTATATTCTCGTTCAAAAGGATAGTATTTATGCACTTGTGAAATCGAATAAAAGATAAACCTGGAAAAGAATTCTTCGTGTTTTTTTTTTTGTAAATTTTTAAATTAGATTTCTTCTATATTCTCGTTCAAAAGGATAGTATTTATGCACTTGTGAAATCGAATAAAAGATAAACCTGGAAAAGAATTCTTCGTGTTTTTTTTTTTGTAAATTTTTAAATTAGATTTCTTCTATATTCTCGTCCAAAAGGATAGTATTTATGCACTTGTGAAATCGAATAAAAGATAAACCTGGAAAAGAATTCTTCGTGTTTTTTTTTTTGTAAATTTTTAAATTAGATTTCTTCTATATTCTCGTCCAAAAGGATAGTATTTATGCACTCGAATAAAAAAGGAGAAAAGGAAATTAAGGAATTAATGACAGGATAATAGGAATTCCATATTCGAATTCAAGTAATTCGAATTAAGCAGCGATTCGACACCTTAACTCGAATACTCGAACGATAAGTAATTCGAAACCATTATACATACTTTAAATATACACTCCTTTCGAGTATCCAATACTCATTCGGATATATCGAATTACTCGATCCCGAAAACGTTTACAACCAAAGTAATCCGACACCGAGTTATTAAATTCAACCGACCACGACCCCCTA